TTTCGAGTAGTACGATTTAATTTATTAGACTGTTTCAATGGTTTGTCGTGTGGTTACTTCCAACTTCTTAAATTCGTTAACAAAATAATTGTTGGTGAAGTGATTGTTGACAAAATGAATCAATCCCATATTTATTTCTACATTATCAAATTCACAATTTTAATTGGTCAATCAACAAATTGCGTGGGTTAAAATTTTGTGTTCCCAGAATGGTCTCCCTGCTCACTTGCACATCCTCGATTACAAAAACTTGTTATTATTATTATTAATAATAGAGAAGAAAAAAGGTCTCCGGCTACACTATTTTTATGTTACACTTATTAAAAATCAGGTTATAATATAGTGAACCCTCCCTAAGTGCACGCACTATGTATACCCTCCATAAATGCACGGCTCATTTCATCACCAAGCTTATAGAGAGCTTATAAAATCACCTTTCATAAATGCACACCCTCCATAAATGCACGCTCACAAGAAATAGCACTATGTTTCCGAGGGGGTGCACTTATAGAGGGTTCAACTTTTGTATTGATTGCAACTTATATGTATAGTCAACCAGAAAATAAATCATCATCATCGCCTTCCTCCTCTTTTTTATCTTCACCAAAATCAGATGGCAACAGTACTATAATTAATAGTCATCATGATCATAATTCACCTTCAAAGTCGTCATTATTATCATCAACAACGCTTTTATCATTGTCATCTTCTAATAGCAATAATATAGGTTACAAAAAAATTGATGACAAAGATATAATAGAATCGGCAGTTTAGCGAAAACCTAAACTAGGCGTATAAGAGGCATTAATATCCATAATTGTATAAATAAAAAAAGAAACAATTTTCAATTCTCTCTGTTGATTCAACGTGCAAAATCAATTTATAGTAATCAAACAATTATATATTAATAGAATTAATATAATTAATTAGTTAATGATAATATAATATATTTAGTATAATATATGTGTGATTTTTTTATGATAATAAATAGGTTTTAATTAACATAGTATTTAAAATTATATAAAAATAAAATAGAATTTTCACATCAGTAAAAGTAGTAAACTAGTTTTAGAAATTATTTTAATATATACATAATGTCAAAGCACGTTGTTCCAATTTATATCAACCAACAAAAATAAATTTACATGGTTTTAATTTCAGTCTATAAATTTTTTTATAAAAAAAAGGTATTAAATAATAGAAGACAAATAATATATTTGTATGAATGAATTCACTAAAAAATAACAATTTTAACAAAAATCTATATAAATAAAAATAAATTAAAAAGGGTTTGAACTTACTTTTAAAAAGAGAGCATTATGAATATTATTTTATAAATTCTACATGTTTTAATAATATATTACAAGTTTAAGCAAGATCTTTTTTGAATAATTGTATTATTATTTGAGTTGGTTGAAATTGAACTTAGACGGATGTAAAGCTAGCATTATCCAAAACATCAGATGAAATAGATCAATAGTCGTATTAGATATATTTTGATCATAATCCCTTCAAAATCCCTTTCATGATCAAAAGGTTCACCACAAATTATTATTATTACTGTTGTCATTTTTATTATTATTACTTTTATTATTATCTTTTATTCTGCTATGAATATTGTGTCTTTTGTGGCAAATGAATGGTAGGTCTTTTACTTTGCCATTCCAAGTAAATAAATGAACGTCAAGAGGAAAAAAAAATCATCCGAATAGCAATCAAAAAAACATCAGCATCACAATATAATAGCTGGTTGCATTGTCAAACGCAAATACACCTACTACATCTGGAAAACATCAAGGATTGTTTTGTTTTGAATCTCGTAATAAATTTTAATAAATTTCGAATAAAAAATTTTCAGCTTCATTTTTGTTTGAAGATTTAATTAAACCTCTTTTCAGATGAAGCATTAACTATATGATGAATTATAACAGTTTATCTAAAGGAGATTTCCTTTAATCAATGATGGGATCAAACAAAATCATCATTATGACATTCGTATAATAATTTCCACTGTATTATATAACTGATATGATCATTCTAGTCTTAAATCCGAATACAATAAATAATGTTTTTAAAAAAAATGTTTTTGGAATTTGCTAATATTACCATTATACCAAAATATTTTCCTCGAATCCAAACAACAGAGATGAAATGAAATCTATATGATACTTCATTAATTAATGACAGTTATCCTAAGGACAACCACGGATCCAATCAGACCGCCATCTGAATTATTACAATAAAAAATTTTTTTATAGCTCGAGTAATGATAAGTTTTAATTCCTTAAAAATATTTTTTATATCTTCTATTAATTACATAATAACACTTTTCGCATAAAAGATAGGTTTTCTGATTCGCACAATATAAAATTGTGTAGAGATTGGAGCTGGTTAATTAACCGGTTAAATATATAAAAAAAATTTTTTTTATTTAAGCAGAATCACTCATCTATGTATAATTATGTTATTATTTGATAAAATTTAAAAAATGCACTGAATTAGCAATTTCCCATCTATTATTATGAAATATACGAAGAATTATTGTCGACTTGCTTTACCATTTAATTTCTCAACAATTTTTATAATTAATTCATTTGTCCGAGTATAATTTTGACTAATCTCGATACTGATTAACTTACATTCATTAATCCTTAAATCAACACGATAAGAATTTCATATTATATATATAGTTAGCTGCATATTTAGTATATGATATTTGTCGGAAATCTTCTGGATAAAAAATAAAAATGTTGCTACTACTATTAATTTTACTATAACAAATAATTAAAGAATGTAAAAAGGTTTTATTTATGAAGCAAAATCATTACTTACCGTAATTATTTATATTGCTATATCGTTTTTGGAATCATACTATAAAATCATGAAAAATCTGTTGTAGAACAAAACATAAAGACTCTGAACAAGAATATAAAAGTACACCTTACAAAGATTTTCGAGTTCTTTTGTTAGAAATTATTGTGAAAAATTAGCATTGTAATTATTGAGACATTCAACAAATGCTGATATCCATCAGAGAAAACTGATAAACTAAAAAGCCCTTTTCAATTTAATATTGTAAAAATGACGAGTAGTTTTCAAAAAGGTAAATATAAATTTAGGAAATATAGTACCGGATGAGAAATTTTAAACGGCTCAGTCAGCCAAGGTCTTTATATCACTATTTATAGTAAATTGCTTTTTAAAAAATTGTAACACACAACCCGCTGCCAAGTATTAAAAATAAAGAAAATGCGAAAATGATTTAATTCTCAAGAAGTATTATATTAGAAAATCAATAATATTAATATCAATACGTTAAAAATTATCATAAATCACATTCCACGTAATAATCGAATTAATTATACAAGCTTGATTTGAGCTCTTTCGATTTCTGGGCCTTTAAGTTTACAATGAAATCAAAAATTACAACACACAGCCACTGTAAATCATTAAAATCATCTACGTGTCTGTTTATTCGAAAATATTAATACAAATTGTTTTAAAGAAAAATACATGATTTAATTCTCAAGAAAGATTAATTTTAGAAGAACTAATAATATTAATACATTAAAATCATAATACATAATATACAATAACAATTAATTGTATTAATTATACAAGTTTGATTCTAGCATCTCCGATTTCTTTGTTACCGAATACTACAATGATAATTAAACCCTTTAAATCTCTAACTTGGAGTCTTTCGTTAAATTTGAATGGTCCGGTTCCAGGACGATTAAAAGACAATTGATTTCTAATTTGATTAGTAAAATCAAATATTACATTATTACTATTATCAATAATTAAGAATTCATAATCATTTCTATCTCTGCTTATAAAACCAGTGTTGAATTGTCCAGTTATATATGTGAATGTTTTTGAACTCTGTGTAAAATGGACTTCACCAGAAACTCTTTTTACATCACCATCGCTATCAAATGTTGCGAAAGCAACAGCACCTGCTTTACGTTTTTCTGAGAGAATTGGCGATGCATTGATAAAAACATTCGATAAAATCGTAATAATTAAAAGAGCAAATGTTAAGAATTTAAAAGATTCTGACAACATTTTTTAATATATTATTTATAATAATTAAATGTTTTGAGAAACTTTGTGTCAAAGAAAAGAGCGATCGCACTTTTATTATACGATTTTTTTTTTTTTTTCGAAAAAACCGTCCATTAAAAATAAAATCTGGCGTAACAAATATCTATTTTTAAAAGATTTTTAGTAAGGTAATTAATCCTTAATCCTTAATCCTTAACCCTTAACCCTTAATCATTTAAAATTGAGCCATGATTTTACCTGAAGACATAAAAAATTACACAAATTTTGGTATACGAGGCAAATGATAAATGTGTTAATACTTTTTATAAAATATAAAAGGTTACATGCATCAAAACTATTGGCTAAAAATTCATTATACTTTTAAATAAATATTATAAAAATATGAATAATGTAATTTAATAGAATTCATATCCATCATTTTTTTCTTCTTTTTTTTTGTATTATTGGATGTTTTATTGCTACTTTTCTTTATTATTTTTTTTTTGGTCCACTTGTAGTAACAATAATGGCATCACCATTGTCATCATCATTATTATTGTCAAAATTTTTCTCGTTATCAAAGATAATTTATTGATTTTCTTCTGGGTTGTTCCAATTATATAGAGTGTTGTTGATAATTGTGTTGAAGTTGTTGATTTACAGGCGTTTTCTGTTGATAGCCTGGTAAATAATTAATATCCAGAATGTCAATAATAAATTGGCTATAAAGATCAATATCCAATTCGTCACAAACAAGTAAATGTGAATTTTCATTAAAATTATTTGTTATCTTTGATCATAATCAATGTTTAAAAATATCTATATACAATTAATTCATTATCTCTGCACCTTTTATTGGGGTTGGTCACAATGGTTGATCATCAAACGTAGTAATAGTAATAGTTCAGATAAACTTTAAAACGTAAAGGCTCAATAACTAAAAGGCTGTGGGGATAATCTTCCCGCAATTGTATTTCCAAACCGTTCAGTTAATAACCGATCAGAGAGTTTTTTTTTATTTATATTAGTAAAAAAAAATTTTATAAAAGTCCAAATTTATCAAATTTATTGATTTTACTATTAATATAAACAGTGGAAATTTAGATAAACTTTAAAACCTAAAGGCTCAATAACTAAACAAGTTGTTTGAATAATCTTTCCGCAATTCTATTTCAAACACTCAATTAATAATAGCCTATCCGAGAGTTTTTCATTTATATTGGTAAAAAAAATTTTTATAAAGGTTCAATTTTGTCAATTTTATTGGTTTTTACTATAAACAACGGAAATTTAAAATGTAATGGCTCGATAATCAAGCAAGCTGTGTGGATTATCTTTACACAATTATATTTCGATTCATAGCCTATCAGAGAGTTTTTTTTACTTATATTAGTAAAAAAATTTTTTATAAAAGGTTCAGTTATCAGTTTATTGATTTTTACTATAATAATGGAAATTTAGATAAATTTTAAAACGTAAAGGCCCAATAGCCAAGCAAGCTATGTGAATAATCTTTCCGTACACTCGATTAATAATCCGTAGAAATTTTTTTTATAAATAATAATAAAGGTATTTTGGAGGTGTCACAAAATTTTCAAAATAACTTTTAAAAATTCCGCATATATGAAATTATATTATTTGACATAATGCCAGTCAGATAGATATTTAAAGCACTTATGTAAATTTTGAATTGATTGAAATTTTAGTTTCCTTCGCTGAAACAAGGATTATCTATAAATTTATTATGTTTCTTGATAAAAATAAATTTAATCATCTGTTTACCTGTTTAGTGAATTCAATCAAAACAAAATGATGCATAATAATAATAACTACTACAGTAAAAATTTCGGCGTATCAATTTACGCAAAATGTACATAATAAGTAAACATTAGATTGTTTGTAGAATGTGCATGCAAAATTTCTTGTTTCCTATTGTTGTAAATAAACGAAGTCTGATTGCTAATTCAAAAATAGATGATTTTGTTTTAAAATACGGTTAGGTCTTAAAATATAATACCTACCAAATAATAATTATTTAAAAATTTGAATATATTTTGTAAACTAAGACTAATATACATAATAATAAATTATTATATAAGAACGGCCGATGTTTTTTATGCAAAATATTTTCTTATTGTATTCTTTGGTCAAGTTTGACAATGTTTTCCATTAATAAACTGAACGCAAGCTTTTCATACACACACAACGTTAAAAACAAATAAACATTAAAAAAAAATTTCCAAAAAAATAATAAAAACGAAAACAAAAAAAAAACAAGAATATTAAAAATAGCTATGCAACAAACAATCTCAACAACCTCAACAACAACGAAGTATTCATCTAGTTCAAAAAGTAGCTTCTACTGGTAACGACAATGGCAAAGTATTTACCCAGTTCAAGGTTAACTTCTTCTACTAATAATGACAAACAACAACAGCAAAGCATTTACCCAGTTCAAAGGGTAGCTTCTTCCACTATTAATGATGAACGACAACAACAAAGTATTTATCCAGTTCAAAGGACAACTTCTTCTATTAATAATGACAAACAACAACAAAATATTTAAAGGGCAATTCATCTTCATCAAAGCTTTCATCAAATCCATCTGAACCAGTCACTTCTTGAAATAGATTTAGAAACAATGAGTTGACATTTTAATAATTATTTATATTAGTTATGCATAAATTTAAAATATTCTTTAAAAAACGCATAAATTTATTATTATTATGTAGATCAGTATCAAAGATAGATGCAAGTATTGTACAACAAGGAACAGGAAACGGAAACAAAAACAGAACAACTTTCGAACACCCCTATTGTTTCAAAATACTATTTTGTGCGACTTATAACATGTATTTAAGAAGACTTGTTATCATATGGAAGATTAATATCGTTTTAAATATGCATTCATTAAGATGGGTTTTATCATTCTTATTATTATTTGGTACTTTCACAGAATTTGCTTTATCATGTTTTCCAAAAATCATTGACAATTATATTTCAATAAGTCACTCCATTTCTCCAAATTGGCGAGTTAATGTTGTCATGGGTTTTCTGTAAGATACATAGAAAGATTTATTTGCTGTATTAATAATATTTTGAACTTTATTTCAATGAGATGTTTTTTAAAATTGAATAGTAATCCAGGCACAAAGATTATTACTTTTAATTCTGGTAATATACCAGCTTTTAATGAAGTTTTCGTGTTGACTCAATCAAATCCTGGCATTTATGAGATCCAGCCATTTTGGGATTTTAACCAAAATGCTGGTAATTATGATAATTCTAAATGTTTTATTTGTCTCTCAATCAATGATCTTTTGATAATTAATTTGGAATTCGTCATTCTATTCATTGTAATATAGTCATTGAAATTCCATCTGGAAGTAAAATAGTTGGTGACAGTGTCCAAATTAATACTATGTTAGTTTTAACATATAATCCTTCTTCCGCATTCCTATCAAATATTTATATACAATTATGTTTATTATATATATTTATAATAATAATAATATATAAATTTTTTATTTTGACCCTAAAGCATTAACAACAACAATAATAGGGATAACCAAAAATTTTCCATCGAATGTGATGTCTGTGATATTCAGACAAGTTCCAAGGAGGACTGGGTACCATTCCACACTAAATGCACGATAAAGGTAAAAATTCGAAAATTTAATGTTAATAATAAATAACAATTACTAATAAATTGTCTAACACACATCCTCAAAAATAGAACGTATTCTCTAATCTTTGTATGA